ATTAGGCCACTGAACTCAAAAAACCTACAATTAGGTCCCTGAACTACACAAATTCATTCAATTTAACCTAAAATGACTTGTTTACTTGTTAATGTGATGACGTGTCGGTTTTTTTTTATATTTAAAATTAATTTTTAAAATTTTATTTTAATAATTATAAATAAAATAATTATTTTAAATTAAAAAAAAAAAAAAAAAAAAAAAAAAAAAGAGAAACAGTCCGCCGAGACGAAGGGAACCCTTCGTCTCCGGGCAGCCAGCCAGGGAGACGAAGGGTCCCCGGCCGCCAAGGAGACGAAGGGTCCCCTTTTAAAAAAAAAAAAAAAAAGAATAAGGTTCAAATTGACCATTGAACGTAACCGAAAAGTGCAATTAGGCCACTGAACGAAAAAAATGTACAATTAGACCACTGAACATTATAAAATCATGCAATTTGTTCCAAATGACCTGAAGTGGTAGGTTACCAACAGGTAATTATCTAAAATTTTAAAAATAAATAAAAATTATTTAAAAAAAAAAAAAATCGGACACAGATCCATGAAGGGATGAAGGCAGACTGCCTTCTCCCTTCAAAGCTTTAGTTCTTTTTTTTTTTTTTTTTTAATGAAGGGATGAAGGCAGCGGCCATGGCTGCCTTCATCCCTTCAAAGCTTTTGTTTTGTTTTTTTTTTTTTTTTAATGAAGGAATGAAGGCAGCAGCCATGGTTGCCTTCATCCCTTCAAGCTTTAAAAAAAATAAATATGAAGGGATGAAGACCAGAGGAATAGAGGAGAGAAACTGTCGCCCAGACCTTCGTCGGAGTTACTATCACCGCCGGAGCTGCCTACTGCCGGAAAGTTTCACCCAAAATGCTCGCCGGAAATAGGGGGAGAAGACTTCGCCCAATTGTTGCCCAGTTTCTCCTCCGCCATCGCCGCTCCGAAATCCGCCGCCATATATAGCTCCCAAACACCGTCTCCGCACAAGAGGAGAGGAGAGATCGCCGTTCATTCGCAACTCACTGCCGGGAGAGGGGAGCCACGCCGTCACCGAGCTGAGGTTGCCGGAGGAAGACGATGTTTCTTTCTTCTTTTTTTTTTGTTTTTTTTTTTTTGTTTTTTTTTTTTTTTTTGTTTTTTTTTAATAAATTTTAGCTAATTACCTGTTGGTAACCTGCCACTACAGGTCACTTGGGGACAAATTACATGATTTTACAGTGTTCAATGGTCTAATTGAACTTTTTTTTTCGTTCAGTGGCCTAATTGCACTTTCAGGTTACGTTCAGTGGCCAATTTGAACCTTATTCCAAAAAAAAAAAAAAATTAAAATAATGATTTTATTTATAATTATTAAAATAAAATTTTAAAAATTAATTTTAAATAAAAAACCGACACGTCATCACATTAACAAGTAAACAAGTCATTTTAGGGTCCGTTTGGAAAGCAGGAAAATGACTTCTGGAAAATGTTTTCTGGAAAATGAGTCACTTTCCGGAAAACATTTTCCTTTCCAGTGTTTGGTTGCATTCTGGAAAACTGTTTTTGTGTGTTTGGTTCATTTTCTGGAAAATGAGTAGAATTATATAATTAAACATTTTAATTATTTTATTTAGAATATTACAACATGTATAATAATATATAATAATATAATAATAATAATTTTAAATATAATAAAAATAACTAATAATATATCAAAAATATTATGGTGGTGGGGGTGGTGTAGTGGTAGTGGTGTTATTTGTTATATAATAATAATAATAATAATAATAATAATAATAATAATAATAATAATAATAATAATAATAATAATAATAATATAATTGGTGGTGGTGTGGTGGCGGTGGTTGCGGTGGTATGGTGGTGGTGGTGGTGGCGGTGGCGGCGACGGTGGTTGCGATGGTATGGTGGTGGCGGCGGTGGTATGGTCGTGGTGGTGGCGGCGACGGTGGTGTGGTGGTGGTGGCGGTGGTTGCGGTGGTATGGTGGTGGTGGCGGCGGCGGCGGTGGTGGCGGCGGCGACGGTGGTTGCGGTGGTGGTGGTGGCGGCGGTGGTAGTGGTGGTGGTGTGATGGTGGTGGTGCTGGTGCTGGTGGCGGCGACGGTGGTTGCGGTGGTGGCGGTAGTGGCGGCGACGGTGGTTGCGGTGGTGGTGGCGGCGGCGCGATGGTGGTGTGATGGTGTGGTGGCGGTGGTATCGTGGTGGTGGTGGCGGCGACGATGGTTGCGGTGGTATGGTGGTGGTGGTGGTGGTGGTGGCAGCGGTGGTGGTGGTAGTGGTTGCGGTGGTATGGTGTTGGTGGTGGTAGTGGTGGTGGTGGTGTGGTGGCGGTGGTTGCGGTGGTATAGTGGTGGTGGCGGCGGCAGTAGTGGTGGTGATGGTGGTAGTGAGGTGGTGGTGGTATGGTGTTGATGATGTTGGTGGTGGTGTGATGTTGGTGTAAAAGTTGGAAAATGACTTCCCCCAAAAAAAAAGGGAAGTCATTTTCCTCCAAAACAAGCCTATTTTCCAAAGTCAACGGAAAATGATTTCCGTTGACTTGATTTTCCAGGCACATCCAAACAACGGAAACTTGGAAAATGATTTCCAGAACTCATTTTCCAGGTTTTCAAACACACCCTTAGGTTAAATTGAATGAATTTGTGTAGTTTAGGGACCTAATTGTAGGTTTTTTGAGTTCAGTGGCCTAATTGCATTTTGGTGTGTAGTTGGATGGCCTATTTGACCCTTATTCCAAAAAAAAAAAAAAAAAAAAAATTAAGACCAATAATTTCTTGGCATAGCTACTGTCCTAAATTTTTAATCTTATCTTAAATAATTTTTAAATATGAAATAATTCAATCCCTTTATTAAACGTTTTAGTCTATCTAATTAAGGATACTATCGCTAGCTATTATTTGTAAATTTAAATGATGTGATTTGATTTTTTTTTGAAGGAATGTGATTTGATAATTATATAGATTTGATATTATGATAAATATTTACCAAATTATATAAAAAGCTATATTGTTAGGATTTTATTAAAAATAAAAAAATATTGATGTAATAGGTTGAACTAATAGCTTAGACTTTTTCTCTACCAAAAAAAAAAAAAAAAAAATAGCTTAGACTTTTTCTCTTAAAAAAATAGCTTAGACTTTTTACTTTCTTTCTTCAATCCTTACAAGTTACTTATTTTCTTTTTATATTTTGTGTCTTCTCATTTTCACATCAATTAACTATCGGTGTACAAGTCCTATTTTATTAAATATAATTCATCTCTCGTATTATCCTTCATGTGTTATCCTTCATGTACGATTTTCTTCACTTTATACAAGTGTTTGGTCTCATTTTACCTGTCATATGGGGTTCTCCTATTTTTTATCGAATTGCCCTACAAGTATGCACCTTTCATATAAATTCAATTCATTAAAAAAAAACAATAATTATATGGATTTGGTATTATGATAAATATTTACCAAATCATATAAAAAGCTACTCCGTATATTGTTAGGATTTTATTAAAAATAAAAAAGTTTATTGGTGTAATAGGTTGGACTAGTTTATACTTTTTACTTTCTTTCTTCCATCTTTAGAAGTACATTTCAATGTTACCTATCTTCTTTTTATATTTGTCTCTTCTAATTTTCACATCAATTAACTACCGGTGTACAAGTCCTATATTATTAAATATATTTCAAGTCTTGAGTTATCCTTCATGTACAATTTTCTTCACTCTATATAAGTGTTTGGTCTCATTTTACTTGTCATGTGGGAATCTCCTATTTCTTATTTGATTGCCCTACAAGTACGCACCTTTCTTATCTATTCATATCTAACTCATAACTTCCTATTTGGGAGAGTAATTTCATGGCACTAAACTACAAAGTCATTGACAATAATATATTTTATATAGTTCTACATATATGTTGATTATCTGTCTTATATATTATAATTTCCTCTTTAAATTCATGCAATAATATAACTTTTTTTTTTTTTTTTCTTTCTGAAAGACGATAATATAACATTATTCATTTGTAGCCACATGATTTTACTCTTCTTTTTGTATTAAAACATTTACTTAATTTTGTAATATGTGCAATATAACTAATAATATATATGAACAAAAATTGAAGAGTTTTGTTTATTATTGCAATTTGCAAACAAACACCAATTGTGTTATAAGCTATGTAAACTAGGGATGTTATTTCAGTGTCGATACTAGGGATATAAACAAGTTAAGTTGAATTCGAGTTCGAATTGACTCAAATTTAAACTCAATAAAAAATAAATAGGCTCAAGTTTGAAAATTGAAACTTGAGCTCGACTCAATTATAAAACGAATCGACTCGACTTTGACTCAAGTTTAAAATTAACTGAGTTCAAGTCAAATTTTGATTGAGCCGCTCACAAGCTGCCCTACCACTAGTGGAAAGTCAAACAATCGTTATATCCTACACCACGGCGCACATAGCACTGTGCGCCGCGCGCCTCCCAAAACGACGTCGTTTTGAGAGGCGCGGTAGGAAGTTGCTGGGATTATGTGTATTTGTTCACACAGTTATGTGTATTTGTTCATACAGTTATGTGTATTGGTTCATACAGTTATGTACATTTTTTATACAATTATGTACATTCTTTTTATACAATTATGTACATCCGAATCATAAAATTGTGTGTATTATGTTAATAGTTGATGTGTATTATGTTAAAAGTTTATGTTTATTATGTATTATGTTAGATTATGTGTATTATCTTTTAAAAAGAGTATGTATATTTTGTTATATAATTATGTACATTCATGTATACAATTATGTGTATTCTAGTATAACATTATGTACATTCTTGAACAACGAGTTTTTTTTAAAAGAAAAAACTACTGCCATTCAAAAAAAAAATAAATTAAAACGACGTCGTTTTGCATCTGGGCGCATAGTGCAACGCGCGCCGTGGTGTAGGATATAAATTGCCAAATCAATCGGGTTGGCGGCCCGATTGAAACCCAAGCTGACCCGAAACAACTTCGGTTCGGGTTATGGCTCGCCGAATCTTCTTCAAAATTCGATTCCTTTTCACTTCGGCAGGCAACAGAACAATGTAGTCGACAAGAGCTTCATCTTTCTATGGTTCTTTAAGATTCAAAGCTGACCGGATTCAGTTTTAGTTCATTTTTCTCTAGATTGGCCTCTCTCATTCATATGAACCCGCCAATACAACTGCCCCATTATCGTATAGCTGTTAAATTCTATGTCTTTGTACATACTTGTGTACTTTTTCATTTTCAAGTTTTAGGGTTTTATTAATATTTTTTTATGTATATTTGGTGTATCAGTAGTTGTTACTTGTTAGTTTAGTTAGGTTTGAAGATACGAATAGGGACATATGAATACATCATTATTTATTATAGTTGGCTATGTGTTTTGCTTGTGCTGTTGTGGGTTTCGGAATTTTAGTGTGAACAGGGTCTTATTGCTTGAAATTGTGAGTTGTGTTGATATTTGCTGAAATTGGAGTCTGGGTAGTTTGGAATTATGCCATTTTTGGTGATTTCGGGTAGGATTGTTTTTGGGTAGTGCAGAACTTCTTAAAGTTTTTGGTTGTTTTCTGTGGGATCACTATCTGGCCGTGTCTCCATGTGCTTGATAGAAGGGGCAGTTGTATTGACAGACTCACTTGAATGAGAGAGATAGAAAGGCCTGTGATAGTCAGATCATGAGCTCACATTCTATCCTTTTCTCCTCCAGGAGTTGAGGAACCTCCTTATGCTCCTGGACCTCTTTTTGTTGATCTGTCCAACAACTTAACATCGATATCTTATTGTACCAAATTTCCTTCTGGGATGGATTCAAACGAATACACCACACTTCCTGATTCCAGCCACGTGATACATGGATCCCATGGGGTTGGCTCAGAGGGGTTTGGCGTGTCCCAAATAGCAATTAGTGATGAAGATGCTAGATTGATATATATAAATAATCCTGCAAAGACTAATGAAAGGTTTGAATTTGCTGGAAATTCAGTAAGGACAGGAAAATACTCCATTCTTACCTTCCTGCCTCGGAACCTGTTTGAACAGTTCCATAGAGTTGCATATGTATACTTTCTTGTCATGGCTATCCTTAATCAGCTTCCCCAGTTGGCTGTTTTTGGTCGGGGTGCTTCAATTCTTCCATTAGCTTTTGTACTATTTGTTTCTGCAGTCAAGGATGCCTATGAAGACTATAGGCGGCACAGGTCTGACACGATTGAGAACAATCGGCTGGCAGTAGTTTTGTCAAATGGTCATTTCCAACAGAAGAAATGGAAGGATATAAGGGTAGGTGAAATCATCAAAATCTCTTCAAGTGAAACTATTCCTTGTGATATGGTGCTGCTCTCAACAAGTGACACTACTGGAGTTGCATATGTCCAGACAATGAATTTGGATGGGGAATCAAATTTAAAATCACGATATGCAAAACAGGAAACACAAATAAAATTTTCAAGGATGGAGAACATTGGTGGGCTGATTGAATGTGAGAAGCCCAATAGAAACATTTATGGCTTTCAGGCCAACATGGAAATAGATGGAAAGCGTGCTTCGCTTGGACCTTCCAATATTATTCTCCGTGGTTGTGAGCTCAAGAATACTGATTGGGCAATTGGGGTTGCTGTATATACCGGCAGAGAAACAAAGGCCATGCTCAACAGCTATGGAGCTCCATCAAAGAGGAGCCGTATTGAGACTCGTATGAATCGGGAAATCATATTCCTCTCTTTTTTCCTTGTTGCTTTATGTACTGTTGTTTCTATTTGTGCTGGTGTATGGCTGAGGCATCACAAGGACGATTTAGATATTATCCCCTTCTACCACAGAAAAGACTACTCAGAATCCAAAGTTGAGAACAATAATTATTATGGTTGGGGGTTGGAGGTATTTTTTACATTTCTTATGTCAGTTATTGTCTACCAAATCATGATCCCTATATCACTATACATAGCTATGGAACTAGTTCGTCTTGGTCAGGCGTACTTTATGATTCAAGATTTCATGATGTTTGATGAGTCCTCAAACTCAAGGTTTCAATGTAGGACGCTTAATATAAATGAAGATCTGGGACAAGTTAAATATATTTTCTCTGATAAAACTGGTACATTAACTGAGAATAAAATGGAATTCCAATGTGCTAGCATTTGGGGAGTGGATTATGGATGTGGAAAGTCCAGTCTTGAAGAGGATCAAGTGGGATACAGCGTTGAAGGTGCTACAGCTTTCCTTATTCTTTTCCTCTCTCCCTTCAGAGCTTTCCTTATTCTTTTCCTCTTTCTCCCCTCTTTCTGAAGTTTCACTTTGCAAGAAAGTCTGCTCTATTGTGAAACATATTGTTTAGTTGGCATCTTTAACCCTATATTATTTTTTTCACCTTATTTCAAATCAGTGGATGGACATGTATTAACACCCAAGATGAAGGTAAAGGTTGATGCAAAGCTTTTAAAAATATCAAAAAGTGGAAAGTGTATAGCTGAAAGAAACCGAGTTAACGATTTCTTTATTGCATTGGCTGCTTGCAACACTATTGTTCCTATCATTGTGGATACATCTGATCCTTCAGTTAAGTTGGTAGACTATCAAGGAGAGTCTCCAGATGAGCAAGCACTAGTATATGCTGCAGCATCATATGGTTTCATGCTTATAGAAAGAACCTCTGGCCATATAGTAATTGATGTTCATGGAGAAAGACAAAGGCAAGTTGAGGCTGCTATTTATTTATTTATTTCCTTTTCACCTTCTTGAACTTTTTTCTTTATACATGTGCATGTTTGCTAGTTCACATGCTATTTTATAGTGAGAAGTAGGTTAAAGGTCTAAGTTTCTATAAATCTCAGTATCTCAATGCTTGATTTGGATAAAACTATAAAACCACTGGCTGACATGGCAACAGACTAAGAAAAATGCAGATTTTGGGATTTTTAAGTCAACTTTCAATTTGTAAGAACTTGGTCCTTGGACTATAACATTTGACCAATCCTAGTCCGTTCATTAACTATCCCAACCGTTAAACATGGATGGAAAAAGTTATGTGTGTTGCACATGCGTTATGTTTGAGGGTATTATTGACATTTTTGTCAAGGCAGCCATGGATGATCAAGGGGTGCTCCATTAGGGATGTCAATTCTAATTTGACATGCTGGTCTTCACTCAATTTGACCCAAGGTCGGGTATTTTTGGGTGATAGTGGGTTATGGGTTAGGGGTGGGTTTTAAAAACTAAACCCGTAGCGGGTTTGGATCAGGCAAGTTTTATATGCAAAACATCATAGAACCTAATCGACCAGGTTATTTTATGTTAAACAATGAACTCAACTTGTATATTTCTATATGTTCTGTGTAGATGTACAAGGAAATATAGAGCTATTTATACAAGACAAGAGCTAATCCTAGCCATAGATTTCAAACACCTAAACCTAAGGCTAAGAGATCCTCTCAACTAACACCCTATTTCTCTAACACTCCCCCTTAAGTTGGAACATCCAACTTGTTACATATGTATCACATGAACCATAGGACTCCACACCTAGACTCATAACTCATAACTTCCGAGGCTAACGCCCAAGAACCACGCAACAACCTTCGAATCACGTTGTGCCAAACCAGTCCACAACGCACCTTGTCGCACCAACAACGCTTCTACGGAGCCAACAAAAGCTAGGCCAATCACCACAGCGCCGCACTTGCCTCTCACACCCCACACCCTTATCACCGCTGCCTAACACCACAGCGTACTTGCCTCTCACTCCACAAACCATTAGCGTTGCTAGACCACAGTGCACCTGTCCCTCTCACCATGCACCCTTATAAATCCTGTCTAACACCACTGCGTTTCCCTGGTGCACGCACGTAAACTGATACACTCTGAATCATTCTTCAGCCGTCGGCCTCCCCCGCGGCATATGCCAGGTCCGCCCCACTCCTGGCACCTGTGCTGCCCACACCTATAGCACCCATGTTTACGCACACTGAACAGGCTGCACTTGACTCAACTCAGACCCTAGAATTGCTCCCATACCAAATTAACTTAAAGCGACAAACTATGATAAACAAAACACAAAGCTCAAGACTTATTAATGCGATAAACAAAAGAACCTACTGCATAATTATTCCTCTTCAGCAGGACCCAGCTTCGTGGACCTCCCCTACCATCTCTCTCGTTGGTTTCTCTTTCTCGGCTGACTGGTGAACAAACAAATCCTCGCTGCCGTCGTCTGGGGTTATGAACCCAAACCCCTTTTGGTCACTGAACCACTTGACGCAGCCCTTCATCCTCTGTTCACTCTCCTTAGCCATTTTTTCACAAACCCTACCTCTCTCTCTCTCTCTAGCAGGAGATGAAGACATCGCAACCACCAAAAATCTCCTCAACACCGGTTCACACTACCACTGCAAATGTGTCGGGAGTACAGAGACGAGCCCAACAGTGTAAGCCGCGACCGGAGAAGACGCTGGACCAGTGCGCACGCGGCGGCGCGTGGCGTCAGAATCCTAGGACTGCGCCGCCGCGTGGCGGCGTGTGGGGATTCCGGTGGCTGCTCCGCCTCTCCCGACAGCGTCGCCTCCCCTTTCCGACCAACGCCCACTACCCAGTCACCTCAATCTCGCTCTGATACCGTGTTAAACAATGAACTCAACTTGTATATTTCTATATGTTCTGTGTAGAGGTACAAGGAAGTGTAGAGCTATTTATACAAGACAAGAAATAATCCTAGCCATAGATTTCAAACACCTAAACCCAAGGCTAAGAGAGGTCCTCTCAACTAACACCCTATTTCTCTAACATTTTATATATAGAGCATTTAGTACTTAATAGTTAGTAGTAAAATAAGTGCTATGCAGCATATCCTGCCCCCAAGCTGGAGGACGATCGTTGCATATCTGGAGGCACATGTGCCAAGACGAGTAATTAGGGCGGTCAGGTGGACCCCGCCTACGGCAGGTGATATGAACCTAGTCCAAGGTTCAAATAAGATGGAATACTGTCCCAAGAATGCTCTCGAAAGTAAAGATAGAGATGGATCAAAATACCTTAAACCTCACGAGAAACCCTTTGTCTCGAATCCTCAAAGACAGAAGAATCCCATTGTAGCTTCAAGTACCTTGATGATGCAATCTTCAATTAACTTGAGTCGGATCTAGTTTCCTTCGATTCAAGAACGAGTCCACGAACCTAAATCTAATGTTTAAGAAAGGAAGATTGATTCGAGTCCACAAATCAATTTGCTAGTCGAGTCCACGACTAGCCACTAATTGAGTCCACAATTAGCCATAAGGTTTCTTACACAAGTGTAAAGAAAAACTTAAGAATTTTATTGAATTAAAGCCTGTCTAAAACTAATATGGATGTGCCCTATTTATAGGTATAGGGCAGCATTGTAATCCTAAATACAATGGGAAAAAGAGTCCTAAACCTAATCTAGAAAGCAAATAAATATAGTCCTATTTAGAAAGGGTTTAAGGAATCCTTTTCTAAATACAAAAAGAGTCCTAAACCTAATCTAGAAAGCAAGTAAATATAGTCCTATTTAGAAAGGGACTTAAGGAATCCTTTCTAAATACAAGCTAGTGTTTTGTCTTTAATTCTAAACAATTTGAAATAATGATGACCACAAATAATAAAGCTGATTTGGGCCTTGGATCTTGTGATTGGCCCAATTTGTACTCTTAATGGATCTTCATTATGTTGGGCCGCATCATCTTCCCCTTCTTGAAAAAAATGATTCGACCTCGAATCTTCTAAACATTGTCGTTGATCTGTGACATCACTTGAAACGGGCCACTTATAATACTTTCCTCTATCGAATGGAATTTTTATTGGGCTTTCTTTTTTCTTCCACCATTGATGCTTTAAGGATGTAGTTATGGCCTTGTGATGAGCCCACTATTTACCCTTACTGGATTCCATGTGTATTGGTTCCTATTAATTTTGGTAGTCCATGGACCACATTGTCCAAATTGAAAATCCTATGAGCAATATGGAAGTGCCACTATTCTTGTGGGATCAAAAGTGGTTTTTATCTCTTATTATTGATAACTAGGAAGATGAATAATGCCTGTGGACGTGCTCACAACACAGACCCGAAGCCCTGGCTAGTTTACTCATGAAGGAAGAAAGGGAATCGAGCAATAAAGGAAATTAATCAAATCATTCAAATGGTAGAATTCAAGGAGCAGAATGAAGCATATAATCAAAGATTGATTGATTATGCAACCAGTAATTGATGCTCCTTGCTAATTTTACATATTGTAGCAGATTATAACTAGGGACCATCTCTTAGAAGAGAGGGCATCCAATACCTTAGGGAAATAATTGGCTTTATGTAGTAGGCAAAAATTCATTCTTGCTGGGGGGAACTTTACGGTATCCCTTGTTTTTTCTTTACATTTTAATTTTACAATTCCCTGTTAATTTGGTTCAAACCCAATCCTGTCTCTTTACTCCATCCAAGGGGAAGCTTTATTTTCCTATGTTTGTAAGCACGTTGGGAAAGGAAAACGTGGACGGGTCGTGGATCCCCTTTAAAAAAAAAAAAAATTTCCTTTCCTCTTTTATTCTCAACCCAAAAAGGGGAAATTCCCCCTTCCCCTCCTCATGCCTCATAAAGTTTCACCCTAACCAATCACTTCTTTAGAAGGTGTTGATAGATCAATTTGGCCTTTTCTGTGTCAAGTGATGCCTGCTCATATTTACTGCATTTTGATTTACTTTCTAAAATTAAGACTGTCTATACTTTTGCTGAAACAGAAAAATCTAGTTTCCCTATTCAATGTGAGCACATTGCAAATTTTTCTCCCTTCGGATATCTGATCTTCCTTCTTGTGATTGCAGGTTCAATGTTTTTGGTATGCATGAGTTTGATGGTGAACGGAAGAAGATGTCAGTAATATTAGGTTGCCCAGATAACTCAGTTAAGGCCTTTGTAAAAGGTGCTGATACAACCATGTTTAAAGCAATTGATAAATCATTTAACTTGGAGGTAGTTCATGCAACTCAAATGCATCTAGATTCTTATTCCAGAATGGGCTTGAGAACTATTGTGGTGGGCATGCGAGAACTGAGTGCCTCTGAATTTGAATTGTGGCAGTCCTCTTATGAGTCAGCAAGCACTGCTATGACTGAAAGGGCAGCTTTACTTCAAAAACTTGCTAACAGTATTGAAAGCAAACTTACAGTTTTAGGTGCCTCTGGGGTTGAAGATAAATTGCAACAAGGTGTGCCAGAAGCAATTGAGTCTCTAAGAACAGCAGGCATTAAAGTGTGGGTTTTGACTGGAGACAAACAAGAAACTGCAATTTCTATTGGCTACTCTTCTAAGCTTTTGACAATTGCAATGAAGCAGATTATCATTAATAAGAACTCCAAGGATTCATGTAGGAGGAGTTTGGAAGATGCTTTGTCCGAATTAAACTCTGTATCTGGTGTAAGTTCAGTTGCCTTGATCATTGATGGAACAAGCCTTGTTTATATCCTTGACAGTGAGCTGGAAGAACAAGTAAATCCGTGTGCTTATCCAATCTCTCTCTCTCAATCACATACACATGTTTAATATGTATATTTGCATTTCTTGTTCATCTGCAGCTGTTCCAGTTAGCCAGTAATTGCACTGTGGTACTGTGCTGTCGAGTTGCTCCATTGCAAAAAGCTGGAATTGTTGCCCTAATAAAGAAGCGAACAGATGGAATAACTCTTGCAATTGGGGATGGTATTGCTCTCTGAAGTTATCATTATTGCTTCTATTCCCTTTCCACCATTTTCTTAAAGGGAATGATAGAGAGGAGCAAACTAAGTGAAAGAACAGAAAATGTTATTCTGCATTTCTTTGTTCATTTTGATATGCTGATAGGAGGTTTTACTCTGTGATTTTTAGGTGCTAATGATGTTTCAATGATCCAAAAGGCTGATGTGGGGATTGGCATAATTGGCCAAGAGGGTCGACAAGCTGTTATGGCGTCAGATTTTGCGATGGGCCAGTTCAGATTCTTGGTCCCACTTTTATTAGTTCATGGGCATTGGAATTATCAGAGAATGGGCAACATGATATTATATAACTTTTACAAGAATGCAGTGTTTGTTCTTGTCTTATTCTGGTAAGTGCACCCTGTGTTCTTTAGAAAGAAAATGAAAGAGAAACAAGTACCACTTAATAATTGGACAAACTTCAGCCCCTTAGTGAATGTATACCAGATGAATGAAAATATGAAATAGTTTACAATTAAAGAAGTTAGGTGACAAAAGCACTATTAAAGAAAGAAGCTTTTCAGCTTTTGTTATGAAATAGTTTACAATTAAAGAAGTTAGGTGACAAAAGCACTATTAAAGAAAGAAGCTTTTCAGCTTTTGTATTGTCTATTTCACATACAAACCTAAGGAACTACTTCCATTCATCTGAATGGAGGTTGTTAGCTCTAACAGACTCCTAAGACTTTCAATTATTCGAGTCCTTGGCTTCTGTGGAATGTGAAATTGTTTTGACATACTAGATAATTTTGATGTGGTGAAATGACCCAAAAAAAAAGGGAGACTTTGCAAATAATTTGAGTTTTTTTAGTCACAGCCAAGTTCCAAGTTGTTAATGTGTGCACAAGTGCAGGAATGTTAGCAAATAAAGGAACATGCTAAGAAGACTTGGTGTTCACTAGAAAAAGAAAATACATTGATGAGTTAATACCATCTAGAGTCCTCCGAGTATAGTGGTTTTGCCACGTTTAGTCATAAACTTTCAAATTGACCACTTATGGTCCTTCAACTTTCAAATTTTAACCATCCGTGGTCCAAGTTAACCAACCATGGTCCTTCAACTATCAAATTTTAACCACCCATAGTCCTTTAAGGAGGACCGCGACTGGTTAAATTTCGAAAGTTGAAGAACCATTGGTGGTTAATTTGGACCACGGATAGTAACAATTTGAAAGTCGAAGGACCATGGGTGGTCAATTTGAAACTTTAGGACTAAACGTGGCAAAACCATTATACTCGGAGGACCCCATATGGCATTAGCTCATACAGTGATCAACATGGAAATTCCACAGAAAATATTCTATTGTAAGGACAAAGGTTAAGTGGGTAGCTATGCGTACTGTATAGCTTGAATCTCCCTAGGACTTGCCATGTGGGGGTTTATCTAGGGTAAGAGTCCTTTTCCTTGTTGGACAAGTCTTACATGCTTAGTATCCTTCAAAGAAAAAAATAGTTGTCTAAAGCTAGAAATTCCGGCGGGAAGGCCCTCTACTTGACATGCCAAGAAAGGACTTCATTTAGGACATCCCCTTCAACCTAATGACCTTGTTAGACATTATATGGTAGAAGAATATTTGATATGATCTCAGTATAATATCTTAGGATAGTGTGTATATAATATCTTAGGGATATTATTGATCCTTACCATAGTTAGTGTGCATAGCCTAGTATAAATATGTGTATCCTCTTGACTCAATTGTATGGAATACAGAGATTAGAACATGGTATCAAGAGCCACATAAAGAAAAAAAACACAGAATTTTTTTTTTTCCTCTTTCTGCTTCTGCACACGGTGGAGGTTTGGGTCGGAATTGTCGCTGGCCGTTTGTCGTCACCACCATCAGGAGCAGAGTCGCCGGTCGCCGATAGGCCGGACTGCTGAATTCGACGCGATTTCGCCCGGCGAGTGGCCCTCACGCGCCACCTTCGTCCCTCGCCGGCTGTCCACGCGCCGGCGCGTGTGCGTCACTCCGGCGCCGGAATCCACTTCGGTCTACTTTCCCGAGGTCCCCCGGTCTTCTACGTCTCTACTCTAGGCTCGGTTTTGGCATTGGAGGTCCCGGTAATATCCCTCTTATTTTTTGCTTTGCAAGACAGTGAAGTTGTGTGGCTGTTTGTGTGTTTGTTGTGGCTTAGAGGTCTGATTCTGGAAGTTTGGTTGTCTGATTTGAGATATCTTCTTGTTGGATAGCCTAATGTCTGAGCCTAAGTCTATAGTTGTGTCCGATATTCTTCCAGTTAATGCAAGAATCACAGAACACAAATTAAATGGCTCAAATCATTTGGATTGGAAACGAATCATTAAAATATATCTGCGTAGTATTGACAAAGATGCCCATATGACTGCCACCCCACCCGAGGATGACAAAGCTAAGCAAACTTGGTTGCGTGATGATGCTAAATTATTTCTTCAAATACGGAACTCAATTGAATCTGAGATATTTGGTTTTGTTAGTCATTGTGAAACTGTCAAAGAGCTCTTAGACTATCTTAATTTTTTGTATTCGGGTAAGGGCGACATTATTCGAATCTATGATGTTTGTAAGGCTTTTTATAGGGCCGACATGCTTGACAAACCTCTGCAGACTTATTTTATGGAGTTCAAGAAAACATATGAGGCTCTTAATGAATTAATGTCGTTCACAACGGATATAAAGGTGCAGCAGCAACAGCGAGAACAAATGGCCATCATGAGTTTTTTGGCTGGTCTTCATCCTCGACTAGAACCGGCCAAGTCCCAGATATTGTCCAGTGAGGAGCTCAAATCCCTATTTGATGTATTCTCTAGAGTATTACGCACAGAGACCTATCAACCCCCTCAGTCGAGTAGTGTTCTTGTCAGTCAAAAGTCAAAGGGGGAGCCTGTGAAGTCGTCATATCACAATAGGGATCCTCATGGCCAGCAGTATAATCCAATCATTTGCCATTACTGTCAGAAACCGGGGCACATGAAGAAGGATTGCCGAAAGCTTCAGAATAGAAATCAGGGCAATCGGTCTGCCAATATGGTGTCTTCTGATACTCATGGTGAGAAAACGGTTGTATTTTCTGCAGATGAGTATGCTAAGTTCCTGAAGTACCAAGAATCCTCATCATCTCCCTCAACTGTAGCGGCTGCCACCTCAGGTAATCCCAACACTTGCCTCGTCTCTTCAGCTTCCAAATGGGTTATTGATTCGGGAGCCACGGATCATATGACAGGTAACTCTAGCCTGCTATCTACCTTTCAATCTTCTCCTTCAACTTCCCATGTCACTCTAGCTGATGGATCCACCTCTAGGGTGCTTGGGATTGGCACTGCTAATCCGACTCCTGATCTCCCGTTATCCTCGGTCTTGAGCCTTCCCAACTTGTCTTTTAATTTGATCTCTGTTAGTCAAATCACTAATGCTCTAAATTGTTCCATAACCTTTTTTCCCACTCACTGCATGTTCCAGGATCTTACGACGAAGCAGATTATTGGTAAAGGGCATGAGTCTGGTGGCCTCTATATTCTTGATTCCAGTATACCGAGAACTGTTGCCTGCTTTGGGATGGGTACTCCGTTGGAAGTCCATTGTCGTTTAGGGCACCCATCCTTACCATTGTTGAAAAAGATGTGTCCGCAATTTAGTAAGATGTCCTCTTTAAATTGTGAGTCTTGTCAATTTGCTAAACATCATCGAGTTAGTTTAAGTCCTAGAGTTAATAAACGAGCACGTGCTCCTTTTGAGTTAGTTCATTCTGATGTTTGGGGTCCATGTCGTGTTATGTCCAAAACCGGGTTTCGGTACTTTGTTACTTTCGTTGATGAGTTCTCTCGCATGACTTGGTTATATTTTATGAGAAGTCGTTCTGAATTATTTTCCCATTTTCGTGCTTTTTGTGCTGAGATACAAACACAATTTAATATACCTGTTCGTGCATTGAGAAGTGACAATGCTAAAGAGTATTTTTCTGAACCCTTTTCCTCTTATATGCTTGAACATGGAATTTTACATCAATCTTCCTGTGTTGACACCCCATCTCAAAATGGGGTTGCTGAACGCAAAAACAGGCACTTACTAGAAACTGCTCGGGCTCTCCTGTTCCAAATGTGGGTTCCAAAACATTTTTGGGCTGATGCAGTCTCTACTGCTTGTTTTTTGATCAACCGTATGCCGTCTTCGGTCTTACATGGTACAACACCCTATCAGTGTCTTTTCCCTCACAAATCTGTATTTCCTATTCCACCAAAAACATTTGGATGTACTTGTTGTGAGAGATGTAAGGCCCCATATCACGAAATTAGATCCTAAATCTTTAAAGTGCATCTTTTTGGGATATTCTCGTGTTCAAAAGGGGTATAGGTGTTATTGTCCGTCAACGGGAAGATATCTCGTGTCTATTGATGTAACCTTCCATGAAGATGTTTCCTTCTCACCTTCTTCAAATTCAGAAAGCCATGGCGACAGTGATGATGATATTCTCATCTATACGGTTACCACCGCTTCCGCTTCTATTCCACCTTCCCGACCACCAATCACTCAGGTATATTCTCGTAAACACCAGTCTGTTCCAAAAGAGGTTAACCCGAATCCCGACACTACTTTGGTTCCTGACAATACGCCAGATTCATGTCCTGAGCCGGATTCTTCGTCGTCTGATCCAGCTACCTTGCCAATAGCCCTACGCAAAGGTAAAAGAACTTGTACTTATCCTGTCTCATCGTTTGTTTCTTACAACCACTTACCCCATATCTCCTGCTCTTTTATTGCTTCTCTTGACTCTATACAACTTTCTAAAACTGTCAAACAAGCACTGTCCCATTATGGTTGGCGTAACGCTATGATTGAGGAGATGAATGCCTTGGATTTCAATGGTACGTGGAACTTGGTAGATTTACCTGTAGGGAAGAAGGCCATTGGGTGCAAATGGGTGTTCGTGGTGAAGGTTAACCCTGATGGATCTGTAGCTCGGTTGAAGGCTCGTCTAGTTGCTAAGGGGTATGCACAAACTTATGGTATTGATTACTCTGACACATTTTCTCATGTTGCAAAATTGACCTCTGTCAGATTGCTTATTTCTATGGCTGCTACATTTAATTGGCCATTACATCAACTGGACATTAAAAATGCTTTTCTACATGGTGAGCTTCAAGAAGAAGTCTACATGGAGCAACCACCTGGGTTTGTTGCTCAGGGGGAGTATGGTAAGGTTTGTCGACTTCTCAAATCTTTGTATGGCCTTAAGCAAAGCCATCGTGCATGGTTTGGGAAATTCAGTCAAGCGGTTGAGAGGTTTGGCATGATAAAAGGAAAGTCTGATCATTCTGTCTTCTATAAACGCTCTGAGAAAGGCATTATTTTATTAGTTGTCTATGTGGATGACATTGTCATCACTGGAAGTGACACCGCTGGTATTGTATCTCTTAAGACCTTTCTTCATAGTCAATTTCAGACTAAAGATCTTGGTACATTAAAATATTTTCTAGGTGTTGAGGTAATACGGAGTAAGAAAGGTATACTTCTCTCCCAGAGAAAATATATACTTGATCTATTGACAGAAACAGGGAAACTAGGAGCTAAGCCGTGCAATACTCCAATGATCCCTAATTCACAGTTGACATCAGAGGGGGAGCTATTTGATGATCCAGAAAGATTTAGAAGATTGGTTGGTAAGCTAAATTATCTGACTGTAACTCGTCCTGATATTGCTTACTCAGTAAGTATTGTAAGTCAATTTATGGCATCTCCAACTATTGATCATTGGAAAGCTGTTGAACAAATCCTGAACTACTTGAAAGGTGCTCCAGGACGTGGAATTGTATATCAAAACCATGGACATATGAACATTGAGTGCTTTGCAGATGCAGACTATGCAGGGTCTAAGGAGAATCGGAGGTCTACAACCGGATTTTGTGTCTTCTTTGGTGGAAACTTGATCTCGTGGAAGAGCAAGAAGCAAAATGTTGTCTCACGATCGAGTGCAGAGTCAGAGTATAGAGCAATGGCACAGGCAACCTGTGAAATCTTGTGGATATATCACATTCTCGATGAAATAGGGCTCAAGGCCTCTATTCCTGCAAAGCTATGGTGTGACAATCAAGCGGCTCTCCATATTGCAGCCAATCCTGTTTTCCATGAACGAACCAAGCACATTGAAGTTGATTGTCATTTCATTCGTGAAAAGATACAACGAGGCTTAATTTCTACTGGATTTGTGAAGACAGGAGAACAGCTAGGAGATCTTTTTACAAAAGCTATGAATGGGCCTCGAATAGATTACTTATGTAACAAGTTGGGCATTATCAATATCTATGCTTCAACTTGAGGGGGAGTGTTAGACATTATATGGTAGAAATATTTGATATGATCTCAGTATAATATCTTAGGATAGTGTGTATAATATCTTAGGGATATTATTGATCCTTACCATAGTTAGTGTGCATAGCCTAGTATAAATATGTGTATCCTCTTGACTCAATTGTATGGAATACAGAGATTAGAACAGACCTCATTAGGTGTTTCGCAGCAACTGTTGTGTTGGGAATAGGAAACGTCAAATCTCCACATCTTTAGGCTTCCTTGTTTCTTTGCCACTGCACTACTCCTAGTTAAGGTAGGATTAAGGTGTTTCTTATGCTACATCCTTGCTTGCCCCATTGTTACTCGTTGAAGTTGGATTGAACCCAATCTATTCATGTTGGGAAAGGGGTAGGAAATGTGATTGAACTTTAGCTGTTTTTTTTATATCTGTGGGTAATGTCTCTATAATTTGGGATCCTTTTATAACCATATTTTTTGTTTAAAAATATTTGTTAATAGGATTAAGTTATTGTTTGTTTCTTAATTAAAATAAATAAATCATTTTTGTTTTAATTTGCATTCTTGAGAGCTAATGTAAGTTATGCTTTGGTGCTAAAAATGTTCCATTTTATGTTCAAAGCCAAATATTTCTTACATAAAATCATTGCCTCTTTTGAAGTTGGAAATGCTAAGAAAGGATTAATTAACGAAATGACTTCTCTATTATTCACTCAGATATAATTTAATTTTTCTGCCCAGGTATGCACTTTTTACGGCTTTTACTTTAACTACTGCCATCACTGACTGGAGTAGCATGTTGTACTCTTTAATCTACTCTTCACTTCCTACAGTAGCTGTTGGAATTCTTGATAAGGATCTGAATAGAATGACGCTTCTGAAGTATCCTCAACTTTACGGGGTTGGACAAAGAGAAGAAAGCTACAATGCGAAATTATTTTGGGTGACAATAATGGACACATTATGGGAAAGTGTAGTTGTCTTCTTTCTGCCTCTCCTAGCTTATTGGGGAAGTGATATTGACGGTTCAAGCATCGGAGATCTTTGGACACTTGCAGCTGTTATTTTGGTTAACATACGTTTAGCGATCGATGTGATTCAATGGAATTGGATTGTCCATGCTACCATTTGGGGATCTATTGTCGCAACTGTTATTTGTCTAATTGTCATTGATGCTTTGCCGTTTCTTCCTGGTTACTGGTAAGATCACTTCTCTCAGTTAAATTCCATAAGCACAATGCATGTTCATATCATAGATTCAAATTCCTTGAACTAACTACTCTTGTGCCAGAATATTACTTTTTATATAACATTATTATTATGGCGTAAAAAACAGTCAAACATCTGCACTCAGTTGCACTTTTAGCCTAAACTTTCAATTTTTGCAACTTATAAGTTATAATATTTTTTGTTGCAACTATCTGCCTTCATAATAATATTATTTTTCTACCAGTGTATTTCTAAAGTTCTCCCTTATAAAACCCCAAAAGATGTTCTTGATACTTTAGATGATTAACATGATTGAGATAACGTCCAAGATGTTATTTTTTGATAGAAAATCTATAGATGAGAAACTTATTACTTATGATGGTAGCCATGAGCACTTGAGTTAGGATTAGGTTTGCCGATGGTGATATGTTGAGTTGGAGGTAGATTATTGAAATGATTGTTTGGGGCAAAAATTGATTTTTAAAAGTATAATAAAGTATTCTAGGAAGCCAGATTGGGTCAAGTATGATCAAATTTGGGAATTACCAAAAATTGCAAGAAAAAAAAAAAAAAAAAGACGTCTTTGGCTAAAATTGCAACTGGTAGGAAAGGTTTGTTTTTTTCCCGTTCTTAAGCCAATTATTAATCTACACTTGCATCGTTCATGTCTTAGAGTCTGCAGAGTACTTGGTGGCAATTCCATAATCCATTTCTGTTGAATTATAGGTTATCAGATGGAAATGTATTTCTTGAATTCAATGTAAAAGATCATTTCTTTCGAGATTCGTAGTGTGCCTAATCGTCCAGACTATGGCCCTGTTTAGTAACATAGTTAGCTTATCAGCCAATTTTGGCTTATTTGACCACTGTTAGCTATTTGACTTGGTTAAACAACCAATACGAGTGTTTGATGCTAAAATTTAAAAAGCTGCTCAAAGCAGCTCTTTTGATAAGCTTTTTTAGAATGTCATTTTGCATGTAATCAGCTATCAGCTAACAGCTAATTTACCAAATATTTTTCTACCATCAGCTAATGCTATTAACTTGTCAAATCCACAAACCCAATCAGCTAAAACTATTTACCAAATACCTATATGAATTTGCAGGGCCATTTTTCATGCTGCAGGAGAGAGCGCATTCTGGTTGTGCCTGCTCGGTGTTGTTGTAACTGCTCTCGTTCCTCGGTTCATAGGTAAAGTTCTCGTGCAGCATATCTTCCCATCCGACATCCAGATTGCAAGGGAAGAGGAGAAATTCAGACACGCAAGGCAGCATCAAAATGCAGAGATAGAACTGAGCCCAAGTTGTTATCCTCCATGATGATCAACTGTTCACATTAGGTACTCACCAAATTTTGTTGGTATTTTTAGGATTTGTTTGCTTGCTATCTCAGGATTCAAAATTTTCTTCTATATTTAGGTCACCATTCTTTGCAATCATGTGTTCTAACCATTACAATAATGTTGTAAATCAGTGATGCCCACAACAAATTATTTGTTTATATGTACAAATAATGGAAAGACCAAAGATGAGGTCTCAATCCAATTTCCCCTTGATAAAGTATGCTTTGTTTGATGTAGGTTTTTTTTTTTTTTTTTTTTTTTTTAATGTTCTTTTTATTTTCCGTACTCCTTCGACCTTGTAGTTGCATTAGCCATTTGCTTACTAATTACTTTAAGTTGTTGGGTTTAAGGTCATTGACGTATATAGGTATTATATATCAACGGTGCATTAAATATTTTCTCGAAGATTAATGACACTATTTGAACATCAATTACTAATGAAAACAATATGAAGGGAAATTTTAGTTTTGGTTTTTTAAGTGTGGACAAATAGTTAATTTAGTCTTCAATTATACAGGTAACCAGAGTGGGTCTATAACTTGTAAATTATTGAATACTAAGAATAATGTTTAAAAAAAAATAATATAAAAAAGTTAGGATTTTGAGTATTTTATTGTCATGGTTAACATTTTTATTGGGGAAAATTGTAATTTTTGATCTCACAAATATGTCAATTATCAATGTTAACCATGAATTATTAGTGGTGTAAATGTTGCTTCTCAATTTTCAAAATGTGATATATATTGCCCCTCTCCTAATAGAAAGAAGAAGAAACATTGTTGTCGGCGGAAGGAGAACAAACGACAAAAAGAAGAATGGAGGAAAAAAAAAAAAAATGTGGTCTTTGAACAGGAAAAAGGGCGGGTAACCACATTTACACCACTAATAATTCATGGGAGGGGTAATATATGTCACGTTTTGAAAATTGAGGATAACATTTACACTACTAATAATTCAGGGGTGACATTGATAATTGACATATTTGTGAGGGATATAAGTTACAATTTTTCCCTTTTTATTATTACCTTCAATGACTAATTCGCTACCACCTTGACAACTCAATGACCAAATGTGGTGATCAATATAATTGAGGAACTGAATTAACTATTTGTTTATAATAATTAGTTTAGTAAAATCTACTATTTTTCATATTCTGAATATTGTTGGTCATATTAATTTTTTTATATGAGGGGTGTTTTGAACTATCGACTTCTCTTAAGAAATGAAAGTGCACGACCACTCACACCAACCAAGCTATTAACGTTCTCAACATATTGACATAACATTGTAGTTACCTAATAATTTTTCTCAATGGTGATAAGACTTTATTTTTTACACCCAAAACACAGACAAATAGAAATCTTAACCAAAACCAAATGACCTCAACAACATCCCATTCAAAGGAGTGTCAAAGAAAGTTAAGGTGATCAAGATGCTTAAGTTAACCTTGAAATAATGCATTTATCTGCAGCAGCAAAATTGTAGGTACTGGCTTTTCATTAACCTTAGACAGACAAAAACAAATGAACATAACCATTTTCATCATTCATATAAACATGCAACATCCCTCATCACTGTAACAAATCAGATGCAGATCTTGCCAACGCTACGTGGCCTGGAGAGCAGTGGGCGCTGTGAGAGTCCCGACGCCATGAGTCCTGAACCTGAGCTGCAAACTGCAGATTCCATATCACATCTTCAACCGAGGGACTATCGGACTGCTCATTTGACAGACACCTTAGGCAAAGCTCCATCACCGTCTTCAGTGAATGGTCGGAGCATTCCTTGCAGACTGCAGGATCCACAATGTTTCTTCGCGCCAATTCATCCGCTGTTAAGCTTACAGATAACTGCACGGAGCAGACAGTAAGAAAATGATGTAAAGAAGAAACCGGAAAAGTTTTGGAAACTTCCTAAGAGAAAGTTTTGAGTCTAACAAATAGTTAGCTAGGTTCTCATGAACCAGGCTCTTAAGAGTCCCACATAGGTTAAACTAGTTAATTGATTGGATTTAGTTTTTTAGTGTGGTTTTCTCTATTTGTATAATAGCCCAATTGATTGACCTTTTACCAATCTCTCCATTTTCTTCCTTTGTTAAGGCAAAAGGAAGGCCTGAAAGGAGTCAAGAATTGAAGGATGTGTTCTGTTTTGACTAGAAGTTTAAGCTGATAGCGAGACTATGCATTTATATTTTATATATTATATGCTCAACAAAAAGCATATTTTCTTTCTTTGATCCATTTACAAGGTTAATTCCATTCCCAAGTCTATTATTCTAGTGTGGAAAGGAAGCCTTGGTTAAAGATTGTAAAGAAGGATGGGTGAAATGAGAAGTCTTACTATGTCTTTGGAGACATCAATGTCATTTGGGGTCATCATTTTCCTTCCCACTATGGTTTCAAGTAAAATTACTCCGAAGCCATAGACATCAACTTTCTCCTTAAATGCTGACCTGCACTCAAGGATCTCGAATAAGAAAATCTCTTGGCATTTCCTTGACAAAAAAAAAAACCAAAATAATACGATGCTCATTCTACATTTCACAGTAATAACAACCCGCAAACTAGAAAGATATTGAAGGCATTAACAGAGCGATTCGTTTCAGACCTCTCCTTCCCTCCACTAGAAGACGCACCAAAAGCATCCTGTATATAGTCATTAACAATGAATAAGCAATCAATGCAAGTTTTCTGTGATAGATATGTTTGGTGCTTGATAAGAGCCCCACATTGAAAATATAAGAGAGAACGTATGGATTTATAAGGACATGGGTTAAACAAGCTAATTGATTGGATTCAGTCTTTCAGTGTAGTTTTGGCTCATGTGCCTTTGCCCAATTGAGTGACCTGCCCGCTATACAAAAATGTTTGGTTGGCATCAGAGTTTAGAGTTCATGCTTCTTGATAACCTTGTGGGCAGTGTTTGATTCAGCTCCGCTCAAATATACTTCTAGTTGTTAACACTATTCCCGTTAACCAGTTGGAGTGAAAGAAGAGGTTATTTTATTGACATACCATGTTCTTATTCTCAGCTAACAAAGGCAGATTGTATTTGCTAATTTTCACATGGAAGTCATGATCCAGTAAGATATCTGTTATCTTCAAGTGATTTGAGAAAATGCCCGGCACTATCCCAGTGTGTAGAAACTGAATTCCCCTCGCAATTCCTAACATAGCCATCATCCTTTGTGACCACGAGAACTTTTGCCCAGCATTTCCCTCTGTCACAAGTGTTGGTGGAAATGATCCAGTATGAGAACGCAGACATTGTAAAACAAAGAAATGGTAAATTAGATATTTTCATGGCATTGCTGTATTCTACCTGATATGACTTCTCTCAGTGTTCCATTTGGTACGAACTCGAACACGAGAAATATTCTGCTGACGCTCGAATCATCCTGATAGCACTCGAAGCAGTGGCCTATAGCACTAACTAAGTGGCAATGCCTAATCTTTGAAACCAGCTCGAGTTGGTGAGTGTAGTGCTGGATGCTGTGCTTCTTCCTCGTTTTCAAGCTTCTTATGGCAACCACCGTGCCATCCGTGAGCATGCCTTTGTAGATCTGAAATCCAAAAGAGGAAAAGAACCGTCGCACTTTGAGACTAACAATAACAATGACAGAAAGTACTGATGCATATAACAATCACTTGTTGTTACCTGGCGACAAGAGCCTTCTCCTAGTATATTTGCTGCGTCAAAGTTATTTGTCGCCTCCCTAAGCTCATCCAAAACAAATGTCCGATAAGGGGGAATGCCAAGCAGTCCAAACTTCCTTTTTTCTGAAATATATCCTGCCAAACACACAAGAATGATTTTATTTTAGTCATTCCTAACTAAACTGGGAACTTTCGGTTTCCAACTATAATGACAAAGACTTGAAAGTGCATAAACTTAGTACACTTAGCCTAAGGTGAAAATTATACGAAGAAGCTAAGAAGCCTTACTTGCATCGTTTAGCAGCTTTAGCGTGTATGCAGGTGGCACCTTTTCCAATATGAGTCGAGCATTCGGGGTTCTGTTAATTTGCTGCTGCTTAGCAAATTTCTTCTTCACAACAAAAAACGCCAAACCAAGAAGCGCTGTTCCTCCAATAAGCCCTCCCACCATACTCGATGCAAGAACCACTTTAGCATATGGTCGTTTCTCCTTGTGGTTGGTAGGCATGATTCTAACAGCCAGGGCTTCGTTGTGACAGAACGACTCGCGATGCTGCCATTGCTCAATATCTGACAAGCAATTACCGGAGTACGAAACTGTCCTGTGACCAGTACCCGGGTGCAAACAATCAGGCAACTCCCCAGTGAAGCGGTTCGATGAGAAGTCCACATAAGAAAGCTGAGAGTTACATGACATGTTCTTGAAGAGTTTCCCAGTGAACTTATTCCCAGAAATATCAAGGTAATCAATTGATGGCATTGACAACAAGGATTGTGGAAGGGGCCCCACAAACTCATTCTCAGAAATATCCATCTTTGTTAACAGATAACAAGACTTCACTTCATCTGGTACCCCAAACCCAAACTTGTTCTTCCCCAACATCAAGGCCACTAGCTTTGTAGGCAAACTAGGGAAATTAGGCCCAAAACTATTACCCTCCAAATCAAGAACTTGAAGGTTTGACAAATTGTGGAAATTAGGCAAATCCCCAGACAGATTATTCCCAGAAACAACAACATTTCTCAACAGCTTTAAACTAGTCAAAGAACTGGGCAATAAACCACTAAAAGAATTATTCTTTAAACTCAGCACAGTCAAAGCAGGAAGTGAAGCTAACCAATCAGGAACCTGACCTGTGAACCTGTTATTATCCAACACAAGTGTCTGAAGCCCCTTCAAAGATGAAATCTCCAATGGAAGGCTGCCATTAAAGGAGTTTGAGCTTATATTCACAATCTCCAAAGAAGACAAAAGCCCAATACTTGGAGGCAAAGGGCCTCTCAGACCCAAAGAAACTAAAGAGAGGACCTTCAAGTTAGGGAGGCTAGCAAGATTGGAGAAGAGGAAAGAAGTGGAAATCTCTTGAGGAAATTGAGGGAAAACCCCATTCCCAGCCACATGGAGCTGTGTTATGTTATCTTCATAGCACACCAGTGTTAGGATTGGGAGTGGCTCAGTGTTGCAGAAATCTGAGTTCTCACTCCAACTGCTTAGCTCCACTGGGAAGCTCAGCTCCTGTTTGATCCTCTGAATGGCTTGGAACTGGGAAGGTGGGAGCATTTGCTCTGAGTAATCCACCATGGCAAAAAACAAGAAAAGTAATAAGAGCTTTAATGGCTTCTTCTTCTTCTTCTTCTTCAGCACCTCTGCCATAGCTAATTCCTTTCCACTTCCTTGTTGTGATTTGGGTTCTTGATTTTATTTATTTATAATGCTTTTTGCCTTTTGGGTGTTTTATTTGCTTTCAAGAAACAGTGGAGACTATAATCTATAAGAAAAGAGGCTGAGTGGAAGAAGGAGCTGCATGCATTATTGATTGAAATATTGCATCAACATACAGTAATGCTGCATATACCATCCATTTCTTTTTCTGCTTAGTCACGTGAATTTTAAAAATAATTTTTTTTTTTTAAAAAAAAAAGAAGAAAATAAGACTAATTGTACTGTGTGTGTGTGACTCATGTTTTTTACTGTCAGAGACACACTGACTAGGGTGAGTTGTTTGACATGAAAATTTAAGGTTGTTTCATACTTAAGGATCAATTACTTAGAGCATCTCCATCAGTGGAAGAACTGGTTTTTAGTCTCTGAGGTGGACCCACCAAATATGAATATTGGTCGGCGATTGGTCGCGTGAGGCACAACAACAGCGATCAATGCGTTAAACTGTATTTTTTTTTTTTTTTTTTTTTTGCTTTTCAGATTTTGTTTTTGCTTTTCTTTTTTCCCTTCCTTTTTAAAACTATGTCTATTGGGGATGCTCTTAACGTTTTGTTAAAGATAGATAAGTCTCTTCCACTCAATTACACCCCAAGTTAAGACTAATTGTAAATGAGCATGAACGAAGTTGACTACAATAAAGGCATGTCTAATGTGGATTTTTGGGCAAATTATACCATAGATAGATATCTATTCTAGGTTGTCATGTTTTTTGCACTCCTAATTTCAAATGTTCAATGCAATTATTAGTATTATAAACATTCATGTTACATTTGGTTCAAGAAGTAAAATAAAATAATGATAAAATTTCAGAAAAATAAAATAGATTTGAAAAATAATAGCATTGCTAATTTAATTTGTTATTCCATTATTTGGTTAGTTTAAAAATGAATAAGGAATAAACAGTCAAATGATACAACCATACTCAAAATAGTATGGGTTTGTGTTTGCGCTATGCATTTATGTTTGTACGGGTATATGTTCGTGAGAATGGCTACTTTCATAACAAACGAAATAATCAATTTTTTGAAATTCTATTCCGCGTAACATAATTAGTTTATCAGTCAATTTTGATTTATTTGACCACTATTAGCTGTTTGACTTGGTTAAACAACTACTATAAATATTTGATTAATTAGTTTTTTGAAACAACTTATTGCTTCATCAAAAATTCAAAAAGTTGTTCAAAGCAGTTTTTTCGATCAACTTTTTGAAAAAATCATTTTGCATGTAATAAGCTATCAGCTAAGAGCTAATTTACTTAAAATCTTTCTATAATTAGTTAATGCTATCAACTAGTCAAACTCACTAACTCAATCGACTAACATATATTTACCAAACAATCGTTATACCTTGCACCACGGCGCACATAGCCCTGTGCGCTCCGCGCCTCCCAAAACAACGTCGTTTTGTTAAGTTGTTAAAAAAATATCCCCTGTTTCGAATGCACATAAACTCATAACAGAATACACATAAACTCATAACAAAATACACATAATCTAACATAATACATAATACACAAACTTTTAACTGAATACATACATAATGGGGTTTGGTTAACATAATACACATAAACTCTTAACTGAATACACATAAACTCATAACACAATACACATAAACTTTTAACTGAATACACATAATGGGATTTGGTTAACATAATACACAAACTCTTAACTGAATATAATACACATAAACTCATAACACAATACATATAAATTTTTAACTAAATACACATAATGGGGTTTGGTCTGTTCGGACGGATGGAGTGACGTCAGCATGAAACGCGACGTTTTGTGCCTGGACGCACATTGCTATGTGCGCCGTGGTGCACGATATAAATTGCCCTTACCAAATACCTCATTGTTTTTCTGTTCTTAACATATTTCGTGAACCAACACAATTATTATTGTGTGGACCATGGTTCATACAAATTGTGTGGACCATATTTTGTCTACTGTAAAATAATATACATTCAGTACAAAAATAATGTACATTGTATTTAGGGGATGTACATTATTTTTGTTCTGAGTGTACATTATATTGTGTAATGTACATTCAGTACAAAAATAATGTACATTTAACATATTAAAAATGTATTTTTTGTTATGGTCCACATGACATTGTGTGGACCATGATCCACACAATAATTTGTCGAACCAACACCTCATATTATACTGTGTGGGCAAAAAATTATTAAACATAATAACAGAAATTTATTAAAACATCGAAGTTATCTATATTTAAGTAAATTAAGAGTAATTAGAAAATATTTCAACTTTTAACAATATGGTAATTAAATTCATTGTACACAATTGTATTATATATTAATTAAATATGAAGTGTTGTGTTTATCATTAATTTGTCTTATGCTTGAGAGCTTTTAGTATGGGAACAAATAATACAGCTGTATGAATTTAATTATATTATGAACTAATCACATTCTTAACAGCTATTAATTTAACATAATGAAAATATATATTTGGAAGTTCCTTTACATTTAAAGATGGTGGGGCATTGCATATGCATGGATCACTAGTCAATAATTAATATTTCAATAGAAATGAAAGAAATGGCCAATTTTATAAGTTATATCCAAATTAAAAAAAAAAAAAATTATTCTCCCTGGAATGTAATCCAGTCAAGGTTGGATGCTCAAGCTAAGGGTGGTTTTCCCCCCACGAAAAAAAAATAAATAAATAAATAAAATCTCCCTGGAATGTAATCCCAAAGTTTTTTTTTTTTTGTCTGCAAAATAAAAGTTGACTTCCCAACATTTTTTGTTTGACATAATATTAAATTATAATGAGTACATTAGAATTAATATTTGATAGGAGTAAGGGTCAAATATGTCTTCCAACTGCACACAATAATGCAATTAGGCAGTGAACCTAAAAAAACAATAATTGGATCCCTGAACTAACCATGCAATTAGTCTAATTTACAGATTTTGCAGGTTAGTAACAGGTCACTCTAAATTTATTTATTTTTTTAAAAATAATTTATTATTTAAAAAATAATTATTTAAAAAAAAAAAACACACACACACACCTCCGCCGGAGACGAAGAAACTTTCTTTGTGTATTCAAGTACGCCTAAAGACAACATACCCAAAGACAACAGTTAAATAAAACCGTTGTCTTAAAAAAAATAAAGAACGTGCAACGACAACGGTTTAACAGTGTTGTGTATTCAAGTGTTATTAACGACAACACACAAATGCCAACGGTTAAATAAAATCGTTGTCTTTTAAAAAATAATAATGTGCAAAGACAACAGTTTTTTATAACCGTTGTCTTTGTAGTGTTGTATATTCAAGTACATCTAAAGACAACATACCAAAGACAAGGGTTAAATTAAACCATTGTCTTAAAAAATATATATATAGAACGTGCAACGACAACGGTTTTATAAAACTGTTGTCATTGTAGTGTTGTGTATTCAAGTGCTATTAAAGACAACACAAAAATGACAACGGTTAAATGAAACCGTTGTCTTTTAAAAAATAATAATGCGCAAAGACAACGATTTTAAAAAACAGTTGCCTTTGTAGTGTTGTTTATTCAAGTACACTTAAATACAACGGTTAAATAAAACTGTTGTCTTTAAAAAAAAATGCACATAGACAACGATTTTAAAAAACTGCTGTCGTAGTAGTGTTGTCATTTCTCAAATTACATAAAGACAACACATTTATAACAACGGTTAAGTAAAAACCGTTGTCTTTGACAAAAGTGTTGCGTCAAAGACAACGATTTTGGACCAAGTCTTTTATACAAAAGACAACATCTTTGTTAAAAACTGTTGTCTTTCTAGTGTTGTCTATGTGCATTTTTCTTGTAGTGTTTTTACTTTCCTATGTCATTCTTACTTACTTCATAGCGCATAACCTAGTCTATTAGTCAAAGGCCTTGTGGTCGAGTGGCATAGTTGTGCCCCCTCAAATGAGAGGTCTCAGATTCAAACCCCAGTATGGGACATTGACTCTTTGTAGTATGATACACACAACAATGATTGGCAAATATCACTCTCCCTCCTAGTGACTAGTTAGAGAGAAACATATTTGAAACATGACTCAAAAAAAGAAAAAGGATGGTTTTGGGTGGGGCTAGGCCAACCCTAGGGGCAAATTATGTTGTGGACTCGGATTCAAAATGACGTATTAATTATAAAAAAAAAAAAATTATACTCTATATTCACAATTGCAGAATTCTATATTCATAATTACAAAACTCTATATTCACAATTACAGAACTCGATATTCACAAGTAAATCAACAATATAACACAATTTTTGAACTCTATGTTCACAATTACAGAACTTTATATTCACAATTTTTGAACTCTATAATCACAATTTCGTAACTCAATATTCACAATTAGAACTCTATATTCACAATTACAAAACTCTATATTCGCAATTTTTGAACTCTATATTCCCAATTATAGTATAACATGTTTTTTGAATCTATATTCATAATTTTTAAATTTTATATTCACACACAAAAAAAAAAATTCAAAATTATTCGATGAGAAAACAGTGCCACTAACGATGTTATTCCAAACGCGTAAAGTTACATCATTTTGGACTTGGGTCCACCTTGCAAGGTGAACTTGGGTCCACGGCATAAGAATTGAACCCTTCATATAGTAGTTCCAAAATGAGCTAACCAATAATGTCCAAACCCATATCACATGATGTAACTCTCTTCCCCATATAAAGCTACTACTCTTTCTACACTTTCTGAAAATGCCACATCAGTTCTACTGCCAATTTTATCGTTTCTTCGGGTGACGAGGAGAAATATTTCCGTTAAAGAATTAGAAATTGTATAGTAGTGGTAAAAATATATATAGTGATAATTTGATGAAGACTTAAAACTTGTATAGGTAGGGGCGGAGACTGAATATTGATTGGACGATTTACAATTTATCTCCTCTAACATGATAACTTTATACACGTAAATTGTTAAGTATATATGTATAGAATATATGCTAACTGCAGACACATAAGATGTTGGTTAACATATTATGTGTCTGTAGTTAACATATTTTGTATATGTAGTTAAGAGTTTATGTGTGTAATTATCATGTTATGTATATATAATTACTATGTATGTGATT